TTGTTCTAATGTGGCTTTAAGACATGCATAGAAAGCCTCTTTTTTTTCAGTAACTTGTTTTGTTGGTGTATCGCACAGAATCATTGTTATATATATATATATATATATATATATATATATATATATATATATATATATATATATATATATATATTAGCAGGTCCCTTTCCATGTTGATGTGTTCCCATATTTGTTTTTTCTTTACTAAACACGATTCTTACTCAATTTTCATGTTTTTTTTTTCAACCAGAGTATATCAGCAGATCGCGTTACATGGTGATGTGTTCTCCTGTTCCATTTCACTGTATCTCACTGAGACCTAGTATCTCAGCTTTATATTCCTCCATATCTTCTACATACTCTTTTTAAATCAAAAATTTGTTTTGCTTGTATGTAGTGTTTGTTTTAATATCTTTTGAACTTAATTATTTATAGCTGGTTTTTAATGAGCAGTGATCCGAGCTATAATCTCCTTCTCTTATACTTCTGATCTTTCGACAAAATTTTAATATTTCCTCTGAATAATTATATGGTCGATTTGATTCGTTCGATCTCTTCGCCCATCTGGTGGTAATTACGTTTCTTTAGGGACATTTGCTATCTCTAGTTGTGTACTTTATTCAAACATACTTTGTCCCTAACAAAAAAACTAGTACTCCAGTCGTCAGAGACGACAATGCCACTGAACCTCTAAAAATTATACGAACAGGCAGAATTTTGTTAAGAATGTCAATTTTTGGTCCCTTAAAAAAGTTGCAAAAAAGTTTGCCTCTCCTACCCCAGGCTTCCCCCTGAAACACACCTCGGATTATTAAAACATGATTATTAGCACTATTTTGTAGAATAAACCGTTCTCTCAAAAACAATGCTTGAAGCGACCGGTGATTTTAAATGCCAGTTACCCGCGCGAAATCAATTTTTTAAACAAAATTTGTATCAACTCGACGGAAAAAATTCGATATTTTTTGATCAGAGTGTTTTATCGACAAAAATCAAAATGCATTTTAAAGGTAAAGAGTGCAGGTTTTGGGCATCTTTGCATTTTGTCGCAACCAAAGTCAGTTTCTAGAAAGCTGTTGCTCATAAACAAACGTTGCGCGATTTTTGTCATTTTTTACGATTTTCATGAGATCAATAAAATTTGTCCCTCCCATTGACCAGTCACTGTGGAATTTTCATTGTTATAGCCTTATTTTCAAAACTTGTAACATGAAAATTCGATTTCGAGTTTTGGCAACAAATATGAGGTATTTGAAATATATCTAAAAACGCAGAATTTAAACTTATAAAACTGCTTCTCTTAGATTGCAGATGGACGGTTTTTCAAAGTTACTTTGAAAGCTTTGTAGCTGACTCTTCAGCTACAAATTCCATTCAATGCCGTCTTCGTGGAAACATTTCTCGTGACGTGAGATCCGTGAGATCGTAATGTGAAAGTTTAAATTCAGCATTTTTTTTGGCATATTTAAAATGCCTCATATTCGATATTATATATCGAAATTTCATGTTATGGGTTTTAGAGATTAGACTCTAACAATAGCAATTCCACAGCGATCAAAATTGCCATTCTCATTAAAACTCAGCTTGCTTGTTTGATTTTTAAAGGTCAAATCTCTGACGACTGGACTATAGCAGCTTTTACCCATTATCATTATTTTATTTACGTTTTTTACATTTTCCTGCTATTTTCTTGTAGGTATCCCCTTTTCCGATTTTGAAAAGAAAGTCTCCCATCACTATTTTTTTTTTGTTTTTTGTTGTAGTTCGCTTTATTTTACGTCACACTGTATTATGTTTTACTTTTAAAAATCCCATCGCTGAATTATAAATCACGTTTAATAGAAAAAGTTAAGACAAAGAATTCAACGAATCCTGACATAAACAGAAAAAATAAAAAAGTTAGATTAGTTACTGTTGACTTATTCATCAAACAGAAAAGTTTTGAACTTGAGAACTAAGAAAACACAGAATGCTCAAGAGATTACAGGATAAAACTTAAAAGTCGGTTCCCAACAATGACTATATCGAGTGTATATTGAAACTCTTTCGGGTTTTTAACTTTTTTAATTAATATTTTCGTAGTTAATCGTGACCTTAATAGTTACTGAAACTGAAAGTTAGTGAAACCTTACTTCTAACAATTTTTAGGAGTTTTCTTATTAGAAGAGAATACTATACTCGGTTCACAATTTGTTGATAGCTCACTATAAGTTTAATCCTAATTAGAGAACTGAAATACAGAGAGGATAGGTAATACGATATAATAGTAAAAACCAACCTGAAACTGACGATTTAAGATGTTTTCGACTAACCCACCTTGTATCTGCCGGAATACAATACAGCGGTCAAGCTTATAATCCGATTAGGAACGTATTTTGGCCGACCAGTGTCGTAGAGTATATGATTGAAACATTTATTTGAACTAAATAAATATATTTTTTAAATTGTATTTTTGTTTTAATAAAACATAATAAAATAAAATATTTTATTCAAAAATAAAGTTTTTTGCCATTTGTAAAAGATACATTTATTTAATTAAGGGGAAAGGCACCAAATGTGTTTTAAATGTATCCATTATTTTCGAATTCGGAGAAAACTAATAAATATTTTTGAAAAATTTAAAAGCAGAATGAAAGATTACATTATTACTGAGGGTATTATATATGTGTATACTGATGTATATTACAGAAAGTCCCTGAAAACTTCTACAATGTTTATTTTATTATGTTATGCAACAGGGGTGAAAATAAAAGAGAGAATTGAAAATATTGCATGCAACAGAAACTTTTTATTTATTCTAATAAATATTTTATTCTGCCTTTAAATTTTTCCAAAAAGGCTTTTTAGTTTTCTCAGGATTTGAAAAAAAATCGATACATTTAAAACACATTGAATATTTTGACAGGCGACGTTTTGCGCCTTTCCCCTTTAATACCTTACGATTACAACTACTATCACTTACCTTATATAATTACGATTAGAAAACTATTCAAATTCAAAATAAATAGGATCAATTTCGGAATCCGAGTCGTCTTGAGGGTTAATAATTAGCGGTTGTGTCTCTACGGTCGCATCAATTATGTTATCAAGATCCCACATTTTTTGTTCTTCTATTACATGTCTTACTGCATCTTTCCAGTTTTGTTCTGTAATGTGTTGTAAAGACTCGTATAACAATTCACGTACAGCTTGTATTTTATATGACGTATTTTTTCTAGCCACATAACTTTTCATTTGTGCCCAAATGAGTTCAATTGGATTTATTTCGCAGTGGTAGGGTGGAAGTTTAAGGACTGTGATGTTTCTTCTTTCCGCAATTTTGTCAACTACGTATTTCTTGAACTTAGATTTGTGTTGCCAGGCAATTTTTAAAAGTTCTGCTTTTACCATTCCATGTTCGTAAGGCAGGTACTTATTCCGCAGCCAGTCAAAAATATCCTGTTTTTTTCCACGCAGTCGTTGGAAGTCTTTCTACTAGTCGTGAATGATAAGGTGCATTATCTAATACTATAATTGAATTTGGTGGTATGTGTTCAATCATCTACACAAAATACTCTTCGAAAACATCAGCTGTCATCTCCTCGTGATAGTCTTTTGTGCTTTTGGACTAAAATTCCAACAAACCATGCTTAACAAATCCTTTTTCATTGCCAATGTGAGAAATTATTAATCTACTGCCTTTACCAGAAGATGGGGATATACCAGTAGACCAACCTTCCATAAAGGCTTGCCTGGAGCTTAATATATTTTTATCTGACCAAACTTTTTTTAGAGTATACATACTTTGGAACCGTATTTCTCCCGATCCGATATCGGGCGACGTCGGATTGAAAACAAACTCAAGGTATTAAATCATAGTGCCTATACTGCTTCCGTGACGAAGCAGTATAGGCACTCTGATTTAAAACCTTGAGTTTGGTTTTAATCCGACGTCGCCCGATATCGGATCGGGAGAAATACGGTTCCAATGTAGGTGTACACTAAGCCAAAGTGGCCGCGCTCTTGGCTCCTCCTAACTTTGATCGATCATAACTCTGGAACTAACATACCAACTCTTTTAGTCTGATATAGCAGAACCTTTCCTTAACAGGTGTTAAAGTTATGACTAACGCCACAAAACTTTCCTGACTATAAAGCCAGTGCCGAGTTGATGTTCCTGTTCACTTCCGCTGAAAAATATGTTTGTAATATATGTCCATGTTTGTGGATTCTTAGTGCTCCTATTCCCTTGGTGCCCTTGGTGCACTTGCGCTGAAAAATATGTTTCGAATATATGTCACGTTTGTAGATTTGAATTCTCTGACCATCTGAATTAGGGTTTCAGGCTGACAGTACCTTCCAAGATCCTATATTCATTGTCCTTTGTCGTCGCTTTTGTCGTCCTAAAAGATCCGTCCTTATCCGAAAGATGTGTTTCGTTTTCATAACTGGTTGATTTTTTGTTGGTCAAAAAGTATATATAATAGTATAGTAGTTACAGAGTATATTCCCCTCTTCTTCTTCTTTTTATGTAGACATGACTGGCTATTTTTCAATGTGCCTCCAGTAAGTTGTTGTTCCATCGTTTTCGTGGTCCTCCTACTAATCGTCTTCCTACTGGAGAACTGTCTCTAATGTGCTTTGTGAGGGACAGAGTCCAATGAATCTGGAAAGCAGATTTTACAGAACTGCCCTAAGAACTGCTATGATTTATATCCCTGAATGTTATGCAGCCAAAAAGAAAGAACAACTAGTAGATATTGTGAAAATGGGAATGTTAACATCAACGAGTTGAGTGACAAAAAGTAAATTTAGTAGGGAAAGTCTAAATGTCGCACTAATTGATAACATAATATGAGAGCATAGATTAAAATACTTAGGACACGTTTATTATCGAAATTATAATCATATAATACGAGGAATAACTTAAATGCAAGGTCACACAAAGAGTAGATGTTGGTAACATTTTTAATTGTATAAACTCTACAATAATTTGGTATAAAATTATTCTTTCTTTTAAGAGCCCGAATGAAAAGTGGAGTAAGGTTTTTGGAAGCAGTTCCAACAGAAGGAATTCCTTGGAATATTACCATTGATATTAATCCTCGTCATACTAGCGCCACTGTGACTCTCGTCAGAAAGGAACCTCCTGATGCGGATATACCGGTTACACCTGGAGAGTAAGTATTTTTATTTTAATTTTCTTGTATGTATTGCTAAAATACAAGGCTTGCAGAGAAAAGATCTTTCTTGAATCTTTTTAGTAAAACTTTGGTTTTGTAATCTTAGCGTTATGGAACTGTTCACTTGGCTTATCGAAATATCCGAAGACGCCACTGAAAATTACGACGGCAGTAAAGTGGTTTGGTCGGCTAGATTTGAGCCTCATTTGGAGCAGGAAACGGAGAGTGAGATTCGCAAAGAAAGTAGAAAGTTGATATCGCGGTTTGAGATCCAGAAAGACGACATTCAAGCAGTTGTTCCCATTAGCAAGGTAAGTGTAGCATTTTTTTTTAAGTTTTTCAACTTACAAAATCATTAGTACGCTGTGGAGACAAATAAGAGGTAATTTAAATAACCGTTATATTAGTTCTTTATTTTTTATTTAGAATTGGGAAGTATTAAACACGGCAGTTCTTACTGGTCTTCAAGTTTCCCAGGCCATGAAAGTGTTTATAGTATCTCAAGCAGGAAAAGCAGCTGATGTCACCTTCCAGTCATCTTGCCATTCTGAAGACGAAAGCGTTTTGAAGGTAATAGGGATATATTCTAATCCATAAACGATTAGTAGATATACTATTTTTGTTTTTACTTAATACCGACAAGATTATATCAATTTAAAATGTTTGTTCTAAGAATGAATACTGTTTTTAAAATTCTGACGTCGCCATTTATCGTATGTGAACTCGGATCTATCAGAAAGATGCCATAAGAAAAACATTTTTCTACCACATTCACGTTTTCTTGTCAGCAGTTGTCAGCAACACCTACAATGCCGCCAACTATAAAATAATATCTATGATTCTTTTTATTAATAGTAAAAGCGTCAAAGCGTATCATATTAATTGTGATATTGTTTAAGTTTATGGAAAAATCATTCTAGGCGATGGCATGAAAGATTTGGTTGAATGGTCTGTAGCTTGTACAAATGGTTACATATTTCTTTTATGTTGTACATAATGGAAAACTGAGTGCAGAACGTTAACGAAAGCGTAAAAGAAAAAATGCTTAATATATATATATATATATATATATATATATATATATATATATATATATATATATTTATATATATATATATATATATATATATATATATATATACTCCTTCCTTGATCAGCGCGACACTCTAAATATTATAGGCTTGCTGCCGCCATAGTCTGCGATCCTGTGGCATATGGACGGCTTCATGTAGGGATTTTCCCACCAGAGTTTTCATTTGGTCTGCCCATCGTGTTAGAGATCTTCCTCTTAGTGTTCGGTCTTCTACCTTTCCTTCTACTACCAATAGTTCCATGATCCCTGTTCTTCTAGCTATGTGACAGAAGTAAATGAGGTATGATCGTTTTAATTTTTCTAATAGTCTGTTTTTTATATGAAGCTCTTTCAGAATTGACAGGTTGGTTCTACGTTCTGTCCAGGGAACGCGTAAATTCTTCTTCATCTTATTCCTATCGATTTTTTTGAGTGTCCATATTTTAGCTGCGTATGTAGCAATGGGAAAAATAAGGGTAGGGAGCAACCTGAGCTTAGTATTCCTTGTTATCGATCGGTCTTTCCATATTTTTATCAGTTTAGCTGTAACGGTGCGAGCCATTGCTAGTCTACGCTTGATTTCTGAGGAGCAATCGCAATTGTTGGTCATCAAGGAGCCCCAAGTTTATAAATATGTCTATTACTTCTTTTATATATATATATATATATATATATATAATGTTTATATCCACGAAGTGGTGCACTAGGTGCAGGAAATTTCTGTCATGGAATTTATTTTTCATTTATTAGGTATCTTCATCATGCGGTTCGGTTTATGTGGACGGAAGCGAGGCCAGGGGATCAGTAAATGGATCTGTGATTGTCAAATACGGAACATACACTGGTTTAGCTCAATTTACAGTATGGATGCCGGAATTTCCACTGGATTTATCAGTCGCTGATACAAGATTGTCTCAACTCAAGTCATGGAGAGTGCCAGACTACAACCCCATGTAAGTTATTATAAAAATCCACAAGAAAACTGAATTCCTGTAGTTGGCTGTATACCATGAATAAGACAGAATTTTATTTAAAAAAAACCTCGAGCTAGATTACAGAAAGTTTTCGTAATATTTTTTTTGGATGTACACAATAAATGCTACAAAAAGATGTACTTTAAAATTAATTCAACTATATTTAAGAGTTTCACCCATGCATTTGTGGCTTTAAACATGTAAATCCAGATAGCACTGATGATGGAATAGTAATTTCGAAAACGTTCTGTGAGATAGCCCGAAAGAGTCCTTTTTAAATAAATATACATTTTTTTTAATGGAGTATTGTAAATGAATAAAGTTGTAATAAAAAATGTTGACTAATGTAATTTTTGCTTATATCAGATTAACAAAATCCAAAAAAAGACGGAAGAGATCATTCGATACCAACTGGGGTGTATCATCAATCGACGAATCTGGCAACGTCGTAGAAAAACCAGTGTGTCGGTTAAGATATCAGCAAACGTCTGTAGACGTTTACGCCCATTTCCTTGCTTCGGATCATTCCTCTGGTAGAACGACTTATTTAATCAACAGAAGAACTTACCTTCGTGTTACGGATCTGGTACTACCTTGGTTGAGAGTCAGCGATCCCAGGATTGCCAGTCTTCACGGAAGAGTACTGCAGGGAAGAAGTGTTGGAAGAACTGAAGTACAGGTTAGTATATTATTATACTTTACTTTTTTTATTTATTATGGAGCTGTTCCATGATGCCATTGTTCTGGTGTTTATTTATTTTTGCATACTAGGATTCTCCTCAATGTTTTGACTGTTATTTGATTACCTATTCTTGCATCAAAGACAATTATTTTTTCCAAACCATCATAATTTATTTTTTAGTATTTTATTTTATTTGTCACCTTGATATACCTTCTGTATATAGAACTGTTTAAGTATAAAAGCTAATTTCTATTTTTATTTTTTCTTTTTCCAGTTGGTGGTATTTATAGAATTTTTTAAATTCCTCTTTATTTCCAATATCTTTAAATTATAACAAAAAGCGATAGTTTAATTACAATTTGAGTAATGAATAAAAAAGAAGAAAAATTCCATTAGGCAAAATGCCCAATGAAATTTTCCGTCTTAAATTTATTTGTAAGTTTGTGTTATTATTGTTGTTTTTAATACACCATTTATCCACCGTTAACCTAATCTTCTCTTTCTTCCTTTTATTCATATTGACCTTTTGGGTGGCAATAAGTTTTAAAAAATGATGATTCTTTAGTTTTACATAAAAAATATATTAAAATAATTCGAGGATATTCGAATAATAGATTGCCAAAATTTCTTTTGAAGGAAATAAGTATATAAGTTTATAGTAGTAATAGACGAATGCTGAAGATGCCTTGGACAGCTAGAAAACTAATGAGGAAGTACCAAGGGGGGTCGACAAAGAAAGAGAATTGGATAAGACTGTTAAACATCAGAAAATGTCTTATCTGGGACATATAGTGAGGAGAAATCGATAAAGAATTTTACAACTGATTCTTAAAGGCAAAATAAAGGCCGTAGAGGTATAGGAAGAGAAAGGTCTCTTGGTTAAAAAACATTCGTGAATGGATTATATATATATATATATATATATATATATATATATATATATATATATATATATAATATATATTATATATATATATATATATATATATATATATATATATATATCGGAAAAAGGAGTACGACCGTCAATCCAATATATATATATATATATATATATATATATATATATATATATATATATATATAAGGATCACTCAGACGAGTGGTGGGTTCTTATATCGGTCTCTAGGTGGAGAAATAAAAGACAAAGTTGATAGGCTACTTTATCTATTTTGAAGACGGTTCGCTTTCGAGTTTTGAAAGCATCATCAGTTCATCTAAAAAATTATTACAATATGAGAACCACACAATCATGGAAACGATGTTAATTGTTACCTTAAAAAGATATGTAGCAGTCAATGTTATTAACAAACATGTGAATGAAACTAAGTAAATGGACATAATACGCTTATACAAGATCAGCGTATTATGTCCATTTACTTAGTTTCATTCACATGTTTGTTAATAACATTGACTGCTACATATCTTTTTAAGGTAACAATTAACATCGTTTCCATGATTGTGTGGTTCTCATATTGTAATAATTTTTTAGATGAACTGATGATGCTTTCAAAACTCGAAAGCGAAACGTCTTCAAAATAGATAAAGTAGCCTATCAACTTTGTCTTTTATTTCTCCACCTAGAGACCGATATAAGAACCCACCACTCGTCTGAGTGATCCTTATATATATATATATATATATATATATAATATATATATATATATATATATATATATATATCAAATGCAGGTTTATTCCTTGTGGCAGAAGATCGTGAAGCTTTTCCAAAGGTAGCCACCAACGTCGGATAACTCTATTATGGCACGTGAAGAAGAAGAATGAGAGCAAGGTGTGGCTGGTCGACAGCATGGATGAGCATGGGAGAAAAGTTTGGAATTGAGGTTAGGTGTGAATGGAGATAAAGTGAAAGTTAGCTTAGTATTATTAGAAGTATGATAGACAAAAGGAGGAAGAGATACAGTGCCAAGTTGACAGTAGACCGTTCGAATCAAATTTTTGTGGATTACAAAAAACTGTAATAAAAAGGAGTAAATGTACATTATCTATTGGAAATGGAAAATTTTGGGGACATTCGATGGCTGTTCAAATTATGATGTGAATAGGAATATTCATCCAGGTACATACAGTATCAAAAGGATTGAGGTCTGGTTGGTCTTTCCGTGTTATCAAGCTCTACGGTACATAGTAAACTGCAGTATCTCTCATAAAATTTCGTACTGATCTAGACGTCGAGTAGTAGAGTAGTACAGCTTTTTGAATGGTCTGATATAGATGCTCACTTAGACCCATCTGTTTTGTTTTCTAGGAAGTTTTTCGAAATAACACCAGTAGTAGATAGAATAATAGGTACTGCCTGAGTCCTTTCTATTCTCCATTGTCTTTTTATTTGTATTTCCAGATCTCTGTGCATGGCGATCTTTTCATTGTATTAAGCATGCAGATTATTCCTGTTAGGTATTGTCACATATATTAGGATTCAGTCTATTATGTGCTACTGTTTGATTTGTGAGCACAGTACGGTTCCCGCTGGCCTTTTTTGAACCATTCTGTCAGGGATGTATTGATAATAAGGGAAATGATCGGTTTGGAGCTAAGTCCCAGTTTGTTGGCTAGTTATTGGTGAATAATCTTTCCTACTGAGTCAGGGCATTCCTTATACTCAGTTCCGATAAACATCTGGTAGCCCCGGTAAGATGTTGAATGGTTTCTTGTGTTCAACAGCCATATTTTCATTTGTATGTTTGGACCTGAAAGTCTTGGCTTAGTGGGATATACGTTTAGTTTATTGCTATACCATTTATATGAATATTTATTTACTTAATTGATGGATTCGACCGTTACTTGATGGAAATTCATTTTATGTAACAATAAAACACTGAAAACTTTGTTTTCAAACTTCCACAAAATTTATTTTAACTATTATCACTACAGCTGTTTCGGCTGATTGCCTTTGTCTAGGCTGCTACATGGATTGACGTCATGGATGACCCTGCCTTATGCTAGCTTCTGGTTCTCCCTCCTTCCTTGCCTGAAGGGGCCAGGTCCTCATACCTTTTTCCTATTTCCCCCTTTTAAAACTCCGAACTTCATCCTGCCCTCTACCAACTCGCACTGGCCAGTGCGGTAGAGTATGGCTAAAATCCAAGCATGCTTGACACGACAAAAACACGGCCCTCAGTCCCCGGCAGTGAGCTGATCCTTGGTCAAGGTAGCGATCAAGAAAGACAGCAAACAGACGGTGCGAAGAATCCCCGGATCAGATCAGGCTACCACGAACGACGACAAATGTATATCGCCACGTACAATGTAAGAACACTGTCATCTGAAGAAAAATTACTGGAATTAGAAGAGTTAAAACACATAAAATGGACGTTGTGGGTCTCTGTGAAGAAGAAGAAGACTGTATAACTCTTAAATCAGGGCATCAACTTTTCTATATGAGAAACAAAGAAAAAATAGGAGGAGTTGGACTTCTTATTCATAAGAGACACACTAAAAATATCCAACAACTTAAAGGTATCAACCCAAGAATAATACTCTGCATGCTGAAGCTTAACAAAAAAACAGCCTTAAAATAATTCAAGCCTATGCACCTACATCTACACACTCAGATGAGGAAGTGGAAACCTTTTATAAAGGCCTAGAAAATGCAGTAAAACTGGCCCCTACTGCACACAACCTAGTAATGGGTGACTTTAATGCTAAGTTGTAAACTGGACGGGACCGAAGTTGCAATAGGTCCCTACGGATTCGGACAAAGAAATGAAAGAGGCGAAATGTTTTTGGGTTTCTTCGTGTTAAGGATCGTGCTAAATCTCCAAAAACAAAGATACAAAATAATAACAAAAACACACCCAATATGATGGAATCCAATCGAAAACACCATGTCCTTCGAAGAGGAAATTTTGAGATGTCTAAAGACATAAATATAGACGTTATGGATGTCGAAACCTTAAATGATAACTTAATAAAAGCTATTAAGAACACAGAGAAAAAGTGCAATACAAATCCTAGGAGAGATAATAAGGAAAAAATCAGTCAAGAGACAAAAAGACTTATGGAGACACAAAGAGAACTTTAGAACAAAAACGATACGAATGCACGCGTACTACAACAACTTAATAAAGATATTAATAAAGCAGTGAGAAAGGACGTACGACAATATAAGACAAAATTACAACTGTTGTCGACGAAAATAAAAGTTTAAAGGTGCTGAAGAGATGTCAAGCTCTAGGTAAGAAGAATATTGTTAAGCTCGCAGATCGAAATGGAAAAGCGGTAACAGATAAAGATAAGATAGTTAAGGCAGTTAAAAAATTTTACACAGAATTATATAGAGAAAGGGGTAAGAAAGACGGCACCAAGTTGAGAAAAGTCCAGAATGTGGGTTCAGAGGATATCCCAGAAATAACAATCAAAGAAGTCTTAAAGTCATTAAATCGAATGAAAAACAATAAAGCAGCTGGTGATGACCAAATCATTATTGAGGCAGTTAAAACAGGAGGAAAGACAGTATTGAAAGCATTGACTCAATTATATATTATGCCTTTCAAAATAGGTTACACCATCTCAATGGAATAAAGTTATTATAGTAGTCATGCGCAAAAAGGGAGATATAACAGAGCTAAAGAACTATAGAACTATTAGCTTGTTATCTCACGTTTATTATAAGTTGTTTATGAAGATAATAACTAATAGGTTGACATCAAAATTAGACTTCTATCAACCTTGCGAGCAAGCAGGATTTAGAGCTGGATACGGAACAAATGATCATTTGCAAACCATTAAGTTGTTAATTGGAAAAACCATTGAATATAATAGATCCTTGATACTTGTCTTTGTCGACTTTGAAAAAGCATTCGATACGGTCAAGCAAAGTGAAATGCTCCAAGCTCTAACACAATGTAGAATAGATCACCGATACATATCCCTCATCAGATACGTCTATCAGCATTCTACAGCCTGTGTAAGACTTAGTGAAGATACTGGGACATTTCGTATTGAAAGAGGCGTTCGACAAGGAGACAACATGTCTCCTAAATTATGTACAACTTTGCTAGAATACGCTTGTAAAACAATAGGTTGGCACGAAAAGGGCATCAATGTAGATGGAAAATTTTTAAATAACCTTAAATTTGCAGATGATATCGTTCTTATTGCAGACAGCTTTAATCAGGCACAGATAATGCTCCAAGAACTCCATATTTAGTCCATAACAAAAACATCTCAGTAGAAGACAAAGATATTGAGCCAGTTGCCTCCTATAATACTTGAGCCAGGAGATCAGAATAAGTCGAGATAACCAAACAATCAAGCTGAAAAGAAGAATAAACCTAGCTTGGGCTGCATTTGGAAAGATGAAGGATAATTTTAGGTCTAAGATTCCAATATGTCTGAAAAGCAAAGTAATTAATCAGTGTATTTTGCCAGTGATGACCTACGGCGCATAAACCCTAACACTCACAAGAACAACAGTGAGTAAACTACAAGTTGCGTAAAGGCAATGGAGAGAATAATGTTAGGGATTTCTCTACGTGATAGAATACCCAATACTACTATACGCAAAAGATCAGGAGTAGCAGACGTTATTGAAAGGATAACAACACTAAAGTGGAACTGGGCAGGTCATGTAGCAAGATCAGTTGATGACCGGTGGACAAAAAGAATTTTGGAATGGAGACCCCGAATACAAGCTAACAGAAATAGAGGTCGACACCCAACGAGATGGACAGATGACATAAAAAGAGTGACTACAAATTGGATTCAGATGGCGCAAAATCGGAATAAGTGAAAAAGCATGCGAGAGGCCTATGTTCAGCAGTGGATGTTAGAGGCTAGTTGATGATGATGATGCCTATTAGAGAATAAGATTTGTTTGTGCAACTCTTCTGACGTTATGTGCCAAGGAGAACAACTGTCACTAAAAGAAAATAGGTATTGTTTTTTTTTGAGAAAAAGAAATAAAAAAGGCATTATTGATTGATTATCTCTAAACTGAAACAAATAAAAAAAGCGATGATGGATTCGGCTTCGAAATTAAAAGTTATGTTAGGTTTTACTTTCGGTTCCAATAAAACTAGAAAAAAAACATTTACTGAGGATATTTTGTATTATAAACCATTTTACCTTAATCTGCGGTATCAGTGGTTATTGAGATGGACTTAAAATCAATTGGGTTCTGTCCACATGTTGGAATTTCTCTTTTTACCGTAGTTTGTATACTGTCTGTGGGGTTTACGTCCCCAATTGTTTAATAATTATCTGTCCACGTTACTAGTACGTTTATTCCCAGTCGTATTACTGACCCATGACCTTTTTTCCTTGTGATCGATTTTAAGCTATCCTTTGGCAATGTAAGATAAATATTTCTAGGACAATAATACTGAATGTCATCCAAAAGAAAGTGGGTTAGTTTCGATGCCGTATTGGCATGCAGCCAGACCAGACGACGGCGTTATAGTTACGTTATACTTAGAAATAGAAATCAATGAACGTTTTTGAGTGCTTCCGGGAAAACTTGGAGAATAATTAATTCTTTTCTAACTTTTTTGGTAAAAGATTTCATGCTAACAATTTATGAATAAGAAACTACTATATTGCTAAAAACTTAACGGATTAAGAGATTTATCGTTACTACTCATTTTAAAACCAAGAATGCATTTTTTAAAAACCTCCTGTCTTCTATTGTAAGTGCTTTAAGTATGATTCTGTAAATATACTTCTTTATAAATGCTGAGAAATACAAATAAGTAAAATAAAAGGAAAATACGAAAAGCAAAGACGGTTTGGTGTTTCTCAGAAGTGAAAAGATATATATATATATATATATATATATATATATATATATATATATATATATATAAATATGATCAGATGCACAACAAATTATATTTGAGAGGGGCCAAAGACAAATAGGAGCTAACGTTTTGGAGGAAAATATGATATTCAATAGTCAAGAAAAACTTATAAGATAAAAATAATACAAAGAAGCATTCTTGAATGATGACCAACTTATGCAACGTGTTAGAGCAAAAACATGTTCGGAACCACCAGTCAAAACAGTGGTGGTATAAACCGCCATAAACGTAGAAAAACAGAAATAGCCGATGATGCAGACAAAATACCGGTGTAACTTATCAAACTTTG